ATGCATTCATTATCAGGGTGAAGCAGCAGCTTAGCATGAGCCTGTTCACTTAATTTCCTTGCTACCATCTTCCCCTCCCCTGAATACAATGCACCCTGATTATGATGGTGCTTGGCCGGAAAGATAGTTTTTATGCATTCATTATCAGGGTGAAGCAGCAGCTTAGCATGAGCCTGTTCACTTAATTTCCTTGCTACCTTTTTCCCCTCCCCTGAATACAATGCACCCTGATTATGACTGTGCTTGGCCGGAAAGGTAGTTTTTATGCATTCATTATCAGGGTGCATTATGTTCTGTTCGGGTGAAGATGGTAGTGGGGCCCAAAACCTACTCAAGAGGGAAATACTTGCTAGGCTAGGCTTCTCGTATGATGGATGCAGTCCTCTGCTTGGGGTGATTTTTGTTTTCTTTTTTCAAAATGTGGCTCGATGGACCACGGTTCAGATATTAGAGACAGACCAGAATAGATACCAACCTCACGCCGAAGGCCGCTTTCTGGTCAGAGTGGGATGTAGGCCCGCGAGCGCGTGAAGCAAGGGGATGTGCCAAGGATTTCAGGAAAGATGGTGGTGGAGTTCCAAGAGACCATGGGAGAAACACCGGAAAAAAAGACGGTTAGAGTTGGCAGGGAGACCAAGAGACAGAAGGTTGCATGCGCTCAAAAAGTTACGCACAAAAAAATCATGGTGCCTAAGTAGAGGGGAAAGCAGTTTGCAGGTGGAGACGAGAAATCAAAAGAGAGCAGGAAGAAAAATGCGATCGAAGTATGTCAGTAGACTCAGTACATCCAAAATGTCCTCGCCGCCTTTTATGCTGCCACATTTGCTGGGTGACTCTCGTGCCGCCACACTGGTCCTTCAAACTGAACGCGCCTACCACCTCATTCAGTTCAACTTTTTTTTTTTTTTTTTTTTTTTTTTTTTGAAAAAACATCATGTAGTTTAAACCTGAGGTTGGCGTAACCCAATCCTATGTTTGGTGTGGTTAGAGTTGAGATGCGTTGATGGGACGCTGGACCCGGTTTCCAGCAGGTGCAGCTCCCCACCAATACATCGGAGTGGTTGCTCAGGGACCTACTAGGAGGGGCTGCTCGTACCACCTTTCCTTGTAGGTCTGCAATGGCGTTTTCGTTATAAAAAAAATAAAATAAAATAAAAAATAAAATAAAATAAAAAAAGGGTCGAGATGGTTGCAAACCAGTGTAACTCAGGGTGTGTTCATGTTGTGGCTCTTGGGCAGGTTTTGGATGTTGGATGTGGAATTGGAGGGCCCATGCGAAACATTGCACGATACACACAGGCAAATGTTGTGGGCATCACCATCAATCAGTATCAGGTAACAACGTTTCTCGGCTATGTAACTCTTCGTTTGTTGTAGCGTTCATGGTTGCATTTGCACTCTCCATGCCCCTTTTTTTTTGTTTCTGTTTTCTTTTTTCCTTCTGCTAGGGGTGCTAGTGGTGGTGATGCAGGCACACGCCACTAGCAGGCCAGGGGATGGCTCCAGTGTGTGTCTCTTGGTAGGGGAGTGACACGTACTGGAAAACAGGTCCAGTGGCGTCCCTTATACACACAGTGAAGGTATACATGATGAGAGTAGTTCTTGAAGGCTTCTTTCTGATTTTCCTTTAGGTATTATTGATGTTTGCTTTGTTTTGCCTAAGGACATTCCCCCGGGAGTCCTGCCGCTGTTCTGGTCATGCTTTTGGTATTCACATTTTCCTTCCTGAGTTTTTCCTCCATTCCTTTCTCTTAGTTTTTTTGTTGCTGTTCTCAGTAATTCTTTTCTCTCTAAAATGGAAGCAGCAGGATAAGGAGGACAAGTTTCGTAATCTTTTGGTTGGTGTCTGATGGAGAGATGGTTAATGGAAGACCCAAAATTTGGGGTTTTTCGCCGCATCACTACAAGCAATGTTGTCGAAAATTTTGCTAGCAAAATATGCAGAGAAATATGTCAGTTTCGGTGAAAAATTCGCCGAAAATGGCACCACCTATTAACCACGAGTGATGGGCAGGTTTGGGTACTTCAGTTAGTCTCCCGGCCGTCCGTCGATGGCTCTGCAGGGTTATGCTTCTCTCTGCTCTCTGATTCCTGTTTCATTTCATGCTTGCCAGTGATAAGTAACCGGACTGCCTCCCCCCCAAGAATGTAAAGGGGCTGTGTTCTTTTTGTGTCAAAAAAAAAAAAAAAAAAAAAAAAAAAGATAATTGAATGGGAGATGTTGGTTGTGTCTAGTATAGCCTCTTCAGCTCAAAAGGGGCTGCTGATGAAAAGCACAAAGAGTCTCACAACCAGACCCTGTGACATCACTTGTGTCTTATTACCTTCTCCACCTAGCCATGTTATGTTCTCCGTCGTAGAAACTCTTTTCGTTTCAGGCCTGGGCCGGTAGTGAATGCGGCAGGCAGCCTTGGAAATGTGAACCTTAATAGGTAGCTTCGTCAACACTGCCTCGTCAACAATTTGTCTTGTCTTGTTTTGTTTTTTGTGAATTGTCTCTTTGACAGATTGACAGGGCGAACGTACTGAACAAGAAATCCAAGTTGGATCACCTCTGCTCCCTTGTGCAAGGAGATTTCCTGAGCATGCCTTTTGAGGATGCCACTTTCGATGCAGCGTACTCAATACAGGCCACATGCCACGCACCAAAGTTGAAGGATGTCTATGGGCAGATCTTCCGCGTGTTGAAGCCCGGAGGGTTGTTCGTCAGTAGCGAGTGGGTAACTACGCCGAAGTACGACCGTAACAACAAAGACCATGTCAGGATCGTAAACTCAATCTGCTACTCGAATGCACTGCCAGAAGCGCATTCGTACCTTGGGGCCGAAGAAGATGCAAAGTAAGTGCAGTGGGTTGACGATCAATTGCTTGCTATTTGATATTGCCTTGCAACTGCGACTTTCGTTCGTCTCGCAATATAATCCCGAATGCAAAAACACCATTTCGTATTCCCAGAGTTACACAACTCTCTCGCCATGTCCTCACCACGAATGCTACCGTCTTCACCCGAATACGACGCACCATCATTATAGCTGTAATTGGGCCCTCTTTCCGTCTAAATTGCAGCTATAATGACCGTACGTTGTATTTGGGGGAAGAAGGTAGGACCGGGTCAAGCAGTGCAAGAATCTAATAGTAAGTAGCTAGTGCATTTGGAAGCTGGTCTGTTACGCAAACAAGGAGTCCATCGGCCGTCATTCATCTAATCCATCTGGATTCGAACTCAGGTCTGTATTTCAACAGCGCATGGGTGTACCGACCGAGCTGGGTGGGTCAGTCCCCCACGTTCATATCTCAAGGTCGTCGCCCTTTCGAGAAAGGAAAAGCCGTCCTTCGACGTCCTCTTATTCTTGCCATTGACAAATGAAAACTGCATGCACTCTTACCGCTTGCACAAGTTTATGCAAAGGCGATAATGCCGCAACTGGGGTGCAGCCTTGAGAGGTGGCAAGCACAGGCCTTGAGAGGGTGCGATTACCGAAATTTTATCTACTTGGCCATTGTCCCATGTCCCGTTGAACTACCACTACCCAGGAGGGCCTTCATTTCTCCCAAAAAGGTGACCGCAATAGGCTTGGGTGTGCAGCTCTTGGGCCGCCAAGAACTGGTATGGTACCAGAGATGCCTTGTCAGGCTCGGCGATAGGTCCAGAAGTAGTGGTAGTTTACATATCATGTCGGTAAGGCTGCGGCAGGAGATGGCCAATAGAACTGCAGAAGGGGTGAGAATCTAGATAAGGTGCTGAAGACCAATTTGTCCGTGAAACCAGCGGCACACCCAGCAGCCCCTATGGCTGTATACGAAGGGGTGCCAGACAGGATTGATGGAGGTACCAGGGAGAACGGGCCCGTGAGTGGTTCTGAAACAGTTCCACCCAGCACCAAAAAGAAGGGGAGAAAGAAGACCATCAATGCCAATTAAAAGGACTGTGGGAGAGTTGTGAGATAGCGGGTTGTGTGTTGATCCGTTGATGTCTTCTTAGTGACCTTTGCATTCGTGCACAAGACTGTGGGATTCTTTTACCCCATTGGTTGTAGGTTTAAACCACCAGTACACGACCCCAGGCAAGTCAAGAAAACAAGTGGCTCGCTCCTAAAATCGCGGAGCCTCAGGGCTACAAGACCACAATGGCTGGCGGCACCAGCCAAAAAAGGAAAGAAGTGCGCCGCTGGCCGTTTGGCAAAAGCTTGGTACACAGTGACAGTGTGAATCCGCCAGGCTCCTGTGTACTGGTGGTTTAAGGCCTGTGCTAACCTCCTCCACAAGAGGCAATGTCAATCGAAATCATGTGAAAAGCTGAAAACTGGCGCATCCCATCCCAAATCAAAATCAAAATCAAAATCACGTGAAATGCTAAGAATCTAAATCATGTGAAAAGCTGAGTGCAAGGAAAATGAGCTAGAGGCAGAAAACCAAAATTGCAATATCACATTGAAGACCAGACAGTCGTGTACCAAGCAGAAAGCAATAAGCACCGAGTTACAAGCCAAATAAGAGCAATGCAATGAACCCATGCGTCAATGACACCCCCTTCTAGCCACCACCAACAATGTATCCAATGTCGCTCTTCTTCTCTGGCGCTCAGCGCCCAGCCTATCCTACTCAGCACCTATACTGGCCTACAGCTACGACATGCAACCCGGAATCATTTCCAGACAAAGACAAATGTACATGACGAAGTCGCCCTTGCAGACTGGTGCATACATCAGGTATGTGTCTCTTCTCTCTCTCCCCTCATCACCTTCTCTTCTACAGTGTGTGTCCACAACACCCGAAGACCACCATCACCATCACGAGCCACCCTCCGAGCAGGCCCGGCTATGGCCGCTCGCGCCCGCTGCCCGCTTGCAGCACCCACACCACACAGCGCCCGTTGCGCTTCCAGCCGGCGCCCCAGCAGCATGCCAGTGCTCTGATCCAGCAGCATGACCGCCAGGTCGCCCAAGGCCAGAATTACTGGCTGGGCGCTGTGCGCTTTCCTATATGGAAAGTGCTGCGCCCTCCAAGCAGCCTGGGCATGGAGGCCGGGTTCCGAGTAGCCTGGTGTTGGGCCAAAGTGTCTGCGCCCAGGTCCGTTCAGATAGCGGCCTGGGACCAGAACAGTTAGGCCACGCCCAACTGTGCGACTTGGCTGGTGTCACTTGCTGCTCTCTGATTAGCTGAAAGGCCTGGAGCCACGTCCCTGCCTGGAAAGGCCTGGAGCCACGTCGCTGCCTGGAAAGGCCTGGAGGGGTCCCCATGTCGTAGTCACACAGACGTGGGCCCTGTAACCAACTGGCGCGTGGTAACTGTCTGGCGCCCCACATGCAGAAACTGCTTGAAAAACTATGCTGGGCCGTCGCCCGGCCCAACACACCCAGCCAGGCACGGCTCGCCCAGTTGGGCAGAGGGGAGGTCCCCCGGCAAAACCAGACGGGTCAAAAAAGAGGCAAGGATCCCAGAAAAAAAAAGAGGAGGAATTCAGGCCAGGGCTGCGCTTGGCCTAAGCAGTCAGAATCTGGTCTTTACTTCGATTTTGGTGATGGGTCATCCAGGGAGGTTTGGGGGGTATAAAGTACTACAAACACTATTAAACAGTGACTAAGGGGTTTAGAAAGGTACATTTTGACTCATGTTTTCTCATTTATTTATTTTTTTAAATTAACAAGGAATTTCGAGTTGGCCGTCAGCCAAAAGTTGTTTGTATTGCAATTTTACACAAGTTTTTTCTTTCGGATTCTTTTGATTTTTTTTTCGATTTTTTTTAATATTGTGCTCTGGGACTGCCCGGGACCCTGACGGGGACCCTGCCCGGCCCGGGCCGCCCGGGGACCAGCTTAGCTGAAAAAGGCCTCACCAGAATAATGCAGGCCCGCGTTCTTTTAGGGCGGGCACGAAGCTTGCTGGGGTTCCCCGCTGTATCAGCCGCTGTGTGCTAGGGCCCTGGCGAGGGGCTCATTCCTCGCATGAGAATCTAAATCATGTGAAAAGCTGAGAATTTAAATATGTGAAAAGCTGAAAACTGCTCCATCACAAGCCAGCAATTGGGTTCCCCCCCAATGGGGTATTTTGCAGACATTGTTTAGTAGTATATGATACTGTATATCTGATGTTGGGGGGGGGGGGCGGAATAAACAGGAAACATGCAAACATGCATATGTTTACAGCCCCTTACTTTTTTGTCCTTTCAAAAAAAAAAAAAAAGAAAGATTATTATGCAGTTTGTCCCCAACCAGATGATGTTTTTTTCTGTTTCTCTCACCCCCTTCTGTGAGCTTTATTTTCAGTTTTCCTGCTATGGAAGAATCTGACCCCAGTTTCGTTGTGCCCTGTTGGCTCTCCTGCTGGCTTTTGTTTTTTTCTCCCACAGGGCTGTTGGATTTGAGGTAGTGGTCAACAAGGATCTGGAGCTTTATGCCGAGAACCCGTGGTGGACTCGTATAAAGATGAGCCGGTTTACGTATGTGCGGAATTCCATCTTGGTCTCGGTGTTTAGCGCATTGAGAATAGCTCCGGCTGAGATGAAAGATGTACACCGCGTGCTCATGGAAGCAATCGACTCGCTGATTGCCGGTGGAGAGTTGGCCATTTACACGCCCATTCAGCTTATCGTCTTGCGGAAGCCTCTCACCAGCAATGCCGCCGCGGTAGAATCCGAAGCACACTAGAGAGTTCTGGAGCTAGTGCTGACAGACGGAAGGAAGAGAGTCGAGAGAAATGGAAGGAAACAAAATAGACAGGAAGAAAGGAAGGGAAACAAAAAAGAGAAAAGGAAGCAATGAAAAGGAAAGCAAAAAGGAAGCAAAAAGAGAACGTAAGGAAGGAAGGAAGGAAGGAAGATGCTGGCTCTTGTGACTCTTGTCGGTGAGATGAATCATCTTCTCCTCTCTCCATAAGATTGCTGTGTGCTGGCCGGATGTACATCCGGAATTGACATCGTTCGGGATGTCAGCGTATTTTCTTTCACTGGGCTGTTTGCCCCGATGCATCAGGCAGGTTCATATATATTATATGGGCGTCGTCTCCATATCTGCCATTGTGAAGAGGGTTGCCGACAGGAGCACGCTGAGTAGCCTACGTGTTGCGGATTCTCAGATCTTGCAGACTGGACGACAGAACTCTCCTCCCCTCCCATCGAGATGTTTGCTGCGGTTCTCTTTCCTCCCCACACTGCAAAGTCTTCGTTTTTGAACGTTTGGCTGCTCTGTGCCTTGCATGTCTGGTGACTTTTTGAGTGTGGGAACCACTAACTCTCACTACGGCTGGTGTTGACAAGCTGTGCAAAAGCGCTTGACCCCAGGGCTCAAATTGTCCTTGCCCGGACTCGTTGGCAAGGCTGGCGTACTTGGCCATTGTGGCCATGAGGAGGGCTATTTTTGAAGACAGAACAGCAAAAAGGATTTAAAGGAGGCTTGGGAGCGTGTTGAGGAATTTTCAACACTGCAGCAGAAGACTCAGCAAGTGGGGGAACTACTACTGTATCAGCGATACCTTTGCGGTAGGGTTCTGGACAACAAAGCCCCTCTTCTCCCTGTTTTTTGGTTTCGACTTTCGACCTTTTTGTGGACTGGATGTCAGATGTGTTTATCATATTTTAGGGTTTAAGAAGTTTAAGGGCGAATTTGTTTTTTCGCAGCTAAGTTAGGCTACCTTAAAGAGGATTGTGCTGCTGCTGATATATAGCGTATTCTGCTCATCCCATTTAAAATGGCATTCATACGTGAAGGTAGAGGCAATCAGTTGCCATACAGGTGGAGGACTAGGAGAACGTTTTTAAGGCAAGGTATCTTGTCATAGCCATGTTCTTCTTCTTGGATCAGACGTTCCGGAAGCTGGTCTTCAGTAGGTAATATTTAAAGGCAATGTGTATTGTACCCATCAGAGAGAAGACCTTTTCGCTACCCGAACTGATCTTGTTTTAATTAAAAGCGGGGAAGCCGTCAGGTTGCCATCGACAGCGAATGGAGGATGTCCTTTGCGCATTACGACCTTGGACCCTGCCTTGTCCGCCGTCCGCCGCTTTGAATAGTGCAGCACTGCAGCAACTGGTTGTTGCGAACTTCAACTTCTCAGCCTGCAAAGGAAGTCTCCTCGTCAATCTGATGACTTTCATGTCCTCCTACACTTTCATGTCCTCCTAGACTTTCATGCTCTATCATGAGCTCATGCGGGAAAGGGACAGCGCTATGAATGTAACATTACCTGTGTAATGTGCATGTCAGCAGCATTCGTATTCCTACATGACGGAGATGCGTTTCAGTGCAACGCTTTACACGACACTGACACGATTCTCCGACAACATTTTGGAAGCTCACTTACCTTATAACCTCTAATTTCCTCTCTAGCCACCAGCTCCATGTCTGTCTTTTGCTGCATCAGTAACCTTAAGGACCCCCTCTTAATCACAACCTCCTCCCCCTGCTCTGCACTTCAGCAGGCCTATGACATGCTGTCCTGGAAGTTTGCTTGCCTGTGAGCTGAGGGTATGCATCTCTCCTTTCTCCCGGGGGGGCAACAAGCACGTGGAAGTGGGCACTGACTTAGGCTTGGTCTAACTCAGGTCAGGAGGGCCTGCAACACTCTGACAGAGACCGAAAAGGGTTTGTTTGGTGCACGGGGTGCCATTCTGCCGTTGTTGGTGCAATGGAATGCTGGCCTTTTTGTCTCTGTCTGTATTTTGGGGGTATTATTAAGTGCATTTGACATCTATGGTGTTCAAATCTTTGAAACACTTGTGTTGCTTTCTCCCTGTGGGGTGTCTGTTATAGGTGCCCCTGGATATACTAGCTCCTTATGGACACTGCTTTTGTGGTTGTTGGGATGGGACCTTATAGTTATAGGAGGGAAAGATAACCGCTTTTGGATGCTCAATTGGAGAAGGATGTTCTTTTTGTAAGATTTCACGGATGGCTAGCTGTCTTGCAGATGTCTCGAGAGTCGAAACCATACTTCCTGTTTGACATGCCTTTTTTCCAATCAAGTCCCCACCTTTCCGACTGGTCCTCGTTAATCCAATGTCTTGCCTTGAGTACATCTCTTCTCATACCGTAATCATTTTGACCACCACTGGACATCATTTCTGTTTTACGTCTGTCGCATGTGATAAGTTTCTGTGTGTGTGTGTGTGTGTGTGTGTGTGTGTGTGTGTGTGTGTGTGTGTGTGTGTGTGTGTGCTATAAACTGTCACCACAACAACACCCCTTTTCCACCCAGATGAGCAGATCCATAATCGAAACAGCTTTAGTTCTATAGCAAGCAATGAAGCAAAAGCTAAGAGAGCAAATCCAGAACCGTAACAGCTTCACCTATGCACAAATGGTTAACAGGTACCCTCACTTTTCACCCCTAGGGTAACCTTCACCACCCTGAAAAGTGTAGTGGGGATCATGTTTTTTTGTTTTTTTACCTCTATAACAAAAACAACATGAAGCATCATAAAGCCGTTTTATAACTTTTACAGTTTTACTGATTTTTCCTTGTACAGTCCTTTCTTTTCTATTCATAAGTATTTTAATTTGGTTGTCTTTGGGGTACCCGTTTGTTTCTTGTTTCAGCTCCCCCCTTTTCCTGTGCCTCGAACGTACAAGGGGCCTGCCATGTTGATTATGGTTGAGTGCAAGCTGCCCACACATCCCACACATCCCCGTGTGCCCCAAACGTACAAGGCCTGCCGTGTTGATTATTCCGTAAAGGGAATTGTAAGGAGAAAAATGATGTTCATGCCATGGGACGGAAATCTCCCGTTGGAACTTTGAAATTTGAATCTGTTTCCCTGATTCACACATATTTCTCATGAGTCATGTCATTGTTAGAGAATTTTAATATCCTGGAGAGATCCTTTTGCAGGAAAAGAGCATGGTTCATAAGTTGTGACCAAAAGGAAAAGAGAACTGAGTGAAAACGTTTTTTTTTTTTAATTAACCCAGTGTCCTTCGGGACATCCATTAAAATTGGAACGATACAGAGAAGATTAGCATGGCCCCTGCACAAGGATGACACGCATAAATCGAGAAATGGTCCAAAACGTAACACCATGGTCCAGGGTTTTACGCCCGTTTATGTGTGTGTGTGGAAGTGTGTTGTCATATTCCCTATACACAACGCCATAAACAAGAGCCTGACTGTGCCTGATTGTTTCGTTGGACTTTCACTGTCAGGAGGTTGAACCGCGACAGTCTGCCCAGGATGCATTTGACTGATGGACAAGGACTCACGCCGCCGCCCAGAGTTAGCGATGCCCTTGAGAAAAGTGGCCGACTGTACTCACACTAGCACAGCTGCAATCGGAGCAGACTGTCGGTCCAAACCCCTGGCTGGAATGGCAGTAAGTCTGAGAAACTAATCTGACACGGCCATAAAACCCACCACACTTCACACCCACTCAGCCATGGATACCCAGTGGCACAACCGTTAGTACGGTCTCCTGACCCTAGCCTCATCGATCCGCCTGAATGGTCAGCAAGGCCATGTTCTGTATTGTCATATTTGTTATACGCAACTCCAAAAATAAAACCACGACTTCGCCAAACCTTTTCGTCGGACTTTCACCGACTCGTCAGGAGGTTGAACCGCGACAGTCTGCCCAGGATTCATTCGACTGATGGATAAGGACTCAGCATGTCGCCGAGAGTTAGCGATACCCATCCCCGAGAGAGAAAAGTGGCCGACTTTCTTTCTTGAAAAGTGGTATACTCTACTCACACCAACCCTGCAATCTTAGAAGACTGTCGCTCCAAGCCTCTCACAAGAATGGCAGTAAGTCTGAGAAAGTAGTCTGTCACAGGCTCACAGCCATAGAACCCACTCTACACACCCACCCAGGCCTGGACAGTGGATACCCACTGGCATGACTTGTACTACGAACAGCCACCGCTCACGAGAAAACCATGCGTTAACACTCTTGAAGACAGTCCTCACATAACTGTTCACTGAGTAGAAACAAATAGGATGCATAACACACTTGGAGATTCCAGTTTGAAAGGGTGGAAGACACATGAAAGTAGAACATTGAATAGAAACAAGTGGTACGTGTAACAGACATGGAGATGTCAATCGGGAAGGGTGGACAACAGGAAAGTACAAGCGCGAGACTAAAAAAAAAGACGAAAATGTACTGAAATGAACACAAGGATAGTTTGTCAGACGTGCGTTGACTCAGCAGGAGGCTGAACCCAGAGTCCCCATATCATCAATTCGAGTCGTGATCTCACAAACAGCAAGGCAAAGGCGGGAGGCGCTGAACGCGAGCAACAGGAAGGCACATAGGCTACAGGGGATGGGGGTAAGGAGGGTGGGCTGTCCGCACAACAAGGCACACAGCAGGAGAGTGTTATAAGCAGCAAGGGAACAAGGGAACAAGGGGACAAGGGGACAAGGCACTGAATGGCAAGCAACAGCAAGGCACATAGGCTAGAGGGCACGGGGAAGGCAGGTGGGCCGCACACACGACAAGGCAAGCAGCAGGGCAGTGTCGTGAGCAGCAAGGGAACAAGGCACTGAATGACAAGAACCCAAAGGCACATAGGTCCTGGCGGGCATCAGGGAGGCAGGTGGCCGGCGAAACGACAAAACAAGCAGCAGGGCAGCATGCTAAGCAACAAGCAACACGGCAGCAAAGCAACAGATCAGCAAGGCAGCAAAGCAGCAGACCAGCAAGGCAGCAAAGCAACACACCAGCAAGGCTGCAAAGTAACACACCGGCAAGGCAACAAACCAGCATCAACAAGGCAGTCCGCTCAGACACCGTGGACCAAAGCAGAATATCACCTACTCACACTACAAGTAGGCTTCTGCAGACTGCAGTTTCACACCACCATTGGAGCCACAGTCCACTCAGACACAATGGACCAAAGCAGAATATCACCTACTCACACTACGAGCAGGGTTCTGCAGACTGCAGTTTCACATCACCGTTGGAGCGAGGGAGAAACCTCAGTGAACGACTATCATTACCCAGTGAACACAGACACAGGCATCCGAAACCTGGCAGCCCGCTAATAGTGTTGCCGGCACTGCAAACAAACAGGCACTGACCATTTGGCACATCTTAAACCACTACTACTACCCCCAAGCCTCTGTTTGCCGAGGTGAAGTGGAACTGTGCGCCAAGCTTTGGCCAAAGCGCCAGTGCGGCATTTTTTGTTTGGCTTTGGCTGGCGCACCAGCCTTTTTGGTCCAGTAGTGCCCAGCCTCCACCGGCTTCCAAAGAATGCAGTGTAGGACCTATAGGTTATATTTACGACTTCGCCTTCCAGCCTGAAAGGTAGTGGTGGTTTAAACTTTAAAGCACTTTCGCTTAGACATAGAAGGGGGACACAGGAAAAGACCAAAGAACACACAAAATGGCCAACGGACAGAAAATACAAAGAATGAGAAGGTGAAAAGAGGAGAAACTAAACCGTAAGTATGACTCTGTGTATGTGAGGGGGGTGGGGTGGGGTGGGAGCCGCGGGGGGGGGGGATTATAAAACGTCCGTGATCATACCGCCACATGTTGTGTCGGGCAGTATGCTAAAAAGAATGAGCCCACAGCCAAAAGAACGCTGGCAATGCCACGCAAAGGCCAGAAACTGTGGAAAGGACAAGAAAAGTGGAAGTACAGAACTGAAGGGGGGGGAAATGAATGAGGAAAAAGTACAAAAACACAACTGGAAGGTGGCAGACTGTTTTGTCGGACTTGTATCGGCTCTTCCCGGGGCTGAACCCTCGACAACGGAATCCACATCCTGATGATGTGAGTCATGAACTCTTTAAACCCCTGTTGTAAGTGGACAACCAGCAGCACAAGCAGCAAGGCAAAGGTGAGGCAACAAGAGGTTGGACGACAGATAACGGCAAAGCACATAGGCTGGAGGGCATGGGCGAGGTGGGTGGGCACGAGAAGGCAAGCAGTAGAGCGGGACTATGAAGTAGCACAGCATCAAGGCAGAAAAGTAGCAAAGCACCAAGGCAAGAGGCATACAAACAACAAGGCAACCAGTAGAGCAGCACTATGAAGCAGCACAGCAGTGAGGCAGCGAAGTAGCAGCAGCAAGAGAAGAGGCAGTGATCCCGAAGGCAGCAAGGCAGAAGGTAGTGAGGCAAAAGGCAGCAAGGCAAAAGGTAGTGAGGCAAAAGGCAGTGAGGCAAAAGGCAGTGGGGCAAGCAGCTGCAAGGTGCCAACAAAACAGCCAGGCAAGCAACACGAACAGATGAGGTAGCGAGGCAAAAAGCAGGAAGGAAGAAGGCAGCGAGAATCAAGGTAGCAAGGTAAAGGGCAGCAGTGTGGCAAAGGCAACCAAATGACCAGGCAAGAAGCTCAGAAAGCTAAGGCTGCAAAGCAAGAGGCCAGTCAAAAGGCGGCCAGGCAATAATGGCAGCGGGGCAAAAGGCAGCAAGGCAAAAAAGCATGATGCCAAAGGTAGACAACGGCAAGGCTAACGGAGTGGAAAGACAAGGCGTATGGATGGGCAGAAAGGCAGGGAGGCAGCATAGACAAGGTGGTCGACACAACCAACACGGACCAAAGCAGGCCATCGTCTACTCACGGCCACAAGCGGAACACTGCAGACTGTATCGGAGTCAGATTCCCCGTGCGTGCCAAGCTTCATCAAAGCACCAGCATGGCTTTTTTTTTTCGCTTCTGGCTGGCGCTGCCAGCCGTCCGGGTTCAGTAGCCCCAAGAACCTAGAAAGTTGCGTTGTTGATTCTCGGCATTGCCCAGCAAAGGTATTGGCGGTTTAAAGGTGCTCACCTAGACACAAAGTAACAGCAGATACGCAGGAAGGAAGGTATACATACATATGCTTGTTTGTGTGTGTCCAACATGACCCCCAGTGCATGGCGCTTAGCGCTAAGAACCCCACAGCAGGCTGTAATACGGCCATTCAAATCAGAAGTGTTGGGCAACATGTGGTCTTACATAATGTTTCCATTATTGATCAAACGTTTCACATCTCATAGTCTATGCATCCAATCTTTTCCAATTTCAAATATATATCGCGCCCCGGTCCCAA